ACTTCTTGTGGTTGGAGAAATGATGGAACTCGAAGAAAATATTTGATGTTCAGGTGTTCGTGGTGGATGGGGAGGAGTGACAACGCGTGGAGGAGGGATTTCAACGTTATAGATAGGTTGAAGATTCTCACCGTCTATTCTTGCTTGTTTTCTCTGCAACTCCTCGTGATAGTTCTAAAGGATTAAAATATAAATAATTAGTTCTGCCATTTACACTTTCCCAACTAAAAATATATCTACCTCTTGATCTCTTTTTTTTGATGCGAATGATTTAACACCAAAAGTCCCTCCGCTGATAGTTCCAGTTCCGTTTACAGTTCCAACTGTTCCGCCAGACACATATGCACCATTTATCGGACCACTTACAGTCCCGTTTATAGTTGGTTGATAGAGGTGGACCTGTTTATGCGAACGCTCCTTCTCCCACCTCCTTGCTAATTCGTGATCGGGTTTAGGTTCCTAGCAATGTAATAATATTCGGGTAATCAACAATATTCACAATTAACGCGTAATAATTCATCTGATTTCTCATCCCATCTGAACATCAGCCAAGCTAAAAGGTTGCCTGTGCCCAAATGGGACCAGCGTTAGATCGACTAAAAGACTTTTAACAACAGCCAAGCTAAAAGGTTGCCTGTGCCCTAACACTGGTTTTGTGGCTCGACTAAAAGACCTGAATGGTGAAGAAGCTAAAAGAATTCCCACCACGCCACGTATACAGTTTCAATAAAAAAATTTTTTCAAATACCATTCTATACTTGACATAGAGAGCTTGTGCCTTTTCACGCTTCCTCCCTTGATCACTATTGATAATATTCACGAGACTTTTAAGATATATATCCACTTTGAATCGAAACGGTTCTTCTTTACATTCGTTTAGAAATCCGGTAATACTCCACTCAGTATGTTTACGACTAAAATACTCGTGTATATACATTTTATCGCGTAGTTGGAGTTCGTACGGTTTTACCAATGATTTGCAGAGTATCACCTATTATCGTTATATCATATACAGTCATCCCCCCTTATAAGCACACTCCTATATAGTCACAACCCTCTTATAGTCACATTTTTCTTGGAACCAACTGATTTCATAATAAATTTACCCCTATATACGCTTATAGTCACTGTCACACTGCTCGTAAGACGGATTTCATAGCAGTTATCGATAGGCTTCAGTGATATAGATGACACGAATATTCTTTCTGGCGATGATGTGGCTAAGACTTTTGAGCAATCACAGGAAAAAATCGTTAAAATTCGAGAAGATGCATTATTGCTCTTTAACTTTAAGACCAGAGCTAAAGGATTGCCCGATCTCAATGCTACAATAAAATTTATTAATGCAATACTTAATAATTGGTGCGGGTATACTATCAGGAGTGAACGAAGAAAAGAAGGACCGAAAGATCAAAGAGTATGGAAAAGCACTTATTGGATTCATCGCAAACCATATGGTGGAGCTGGTTTTGTAACTCAAGAAAAATAACAGCTATAAAGGTGAATAATTCTAAATATTTCCCTATAGGTCCAATTCTTCCACCATATAAACCTGAATCGGTCAATGAAACTCAGGAACTTTTTGATTCTATATCCGTTACTACTGATATCACCGTTTCAGAGAAAGCAAAGTTTCAATGCTTTGCATCATCTAGTAATGAGATTTGTGAAGAGAATTCTTGCATTAATATAGTTGAGAAATCTGTGACAAATTTGCCACAATTGCCTTCTATAATATTAACACGAAATCAATCAAATAATTCAAAGCAATTCTCAAACATTGTTGAAGTCAAGAAAGAGTTACCTGAATCCTTAATTTCTTTATCTTCAGAATATCTCATCAAAAATGAATCTGATATTGATACTCTTATCTTTTATTTACAAGAAAAATTCCGAATGTCGAAAAAAAAATTGGAACAATGGCGAACCAAGATTGCCTTTGAATTGCGGGATAATCAAAATTACTGGAAAAAAGAGCGCGAGAGCATGGACGAGATCGCTTTCCTGGAATATAAGCGAAATTTTGAGGCTAAAATGAAAGTTCCTACTACTCCGCACAAAAAAGAGCTGGAAAGTAAATCTTTGGCTCTTATCGAATATATATAACCTAGCTAATAGTAATCTCCGGAGCAGCGGGATTGTTACATTCAGCTAGTTATACATTTTAGGTAAGGGGGTTTTTTGTCATTTCTTACAATAAGTATACAGAAAATTTAAATCAAAAATTAATACTCTGATGTCTAAATTATATAAAGGAGTTTTTGTGCTGTAGAATTTTGGTCAATCGTAACTGTAATGAGCAGTAGCATCAACGCTACAATAATCAGCTTTACCTCTCGGCATAAAATGCTCATCTACTAATTTCCTTTGTTGTTCTGCTAATTTCGTATTTTTGTTGTAATAGTTTCTCTCTAATTTAGCCTTAACTAGATGTTCTTTGAATTTTTTCAATAAATCTTTCGCTTCTTCTTCCTTGTGAGCATTATATTGTAAGCCGTTCCGAAAATGTTGGCACGTGTCACATAAATTCGTTCGTGGACTCATAATTTGAATATAAGGTGTTAATTGGTGCCATAACTTGCGAAACGCATCGTATTTTAACAATTTCAGTGTGCTATCGTTTTCGAGACCTGCAATAAAATTACGATAGGCTGATTTGTAACTGGCAAAAGTGTAAGCGATTGAGTAATGCGATTAACATTTCTACCAGGACTTGGTAGGCCATGGATTTCAGCATAGTTTTCGAGAAAATTCTTTACGGCAGCAGCAACTTTTATATCAATGGTTATTTTGGTTTTCCATCGTGGCAGTCGTTTGCTATTACCATGAACGTGTGGTATTATACCATTCGTCGCTAGGTGGTTTCTGACGTTTTCGAAATGGGTACGACCAATTCCCAACATATTGAGATACGTTTTTTGACAAAGCGGCGTATTGCGATCTCAATAGTAAAAAGTTCTTTTATTAGAACGCGTTTTATTTTTAAGACGTCGACTAGCCGTTATTTCTCCACCATTCATTGCTTTCAGCTGAGCCATTAAAAATATGTCTTGCTCGGATCTAGCGAGAGCTTGAAACGCCTCACGTAATTCGGCAAACCTTTCTCTCGGAATCATTTTTGAACAACCACAGTTGCAACCTATCTCTAAGAAACGTATTGCTTTTTCATATTCGGTTGAACTGTTATAATTATAATTTTCCATATACGGGTATTCCTATATATGAATTTTACGCTTCACTAGTTTGCTTATTTTACTGAATTTCTTTTGTCTTTTTAAAATTCGATAACTATGTAAGAGAGTTCATTATTATGTGCAGTAATTCATATGATCACATGATTGTAAATTATTCGTATTTGAATAGAAAGCAATGTTCAATAGATGCACCCCATTGGTAGAAATATATGACTTAATGTCCTTGCACAATTACTCAGTGTGATAATTATCGTCATATATAAAAACCTAGCTGAATATTCAAGCAACTATTTAATGACGAGCCTTCATCCTTATTGGTGATGCCCAGGTGTTGTCATCATCCAAATAATAGTCGGCTTCTTTCGTTAACAATGTTTGGTATCTTTTATGTAGACCTTGAATGAACGGCTACAAATAGAGGTCAATTGTTAGAAGAATATACTAATACCGGCACTTAATAGATATAATCGAAAGACAATTACCCGCAATGACAGCATTTTGGCGGCAACTTTTGTCATTTTCGGAAACGTTGTTATCTCTTCTGCTATTTCGAAATCCATAATTGAGAAAACTATCGGTCGCATGTTTGCTAACCAAATTGCTAAATATACTTCAACGCTTGCTCCTATGACATTAGCAAATAAAATCCGCATTAAATAAATGGAGCAAATTGCTACGATTAATAAAACTAAACTTACCGCTGAATTGCACGCAGAGAACAGGCATGGATGAAATCTCATGTAGTAATTTTTCCGGTAACGTAGATACCATATGCTTAAACATAAGGATAATAGCATTATGTAGTTTCGATAAATCTTTATCTGACTTCGAAAGTACGGAAGTTGCTGCCGTCTCTACGTATATGAACTCAAATTGTCTGCTAAAAGATAAAATGCCGTCATATTTCCTCTTTTTTCTTGATTTTTTATCAAGAAGCTTTTGCACAAAGCTTTCCACTTCACTTCTAACAGTGAACATAGTTATCAGTTAAGGACATAGTACTGGTATAACATTAGCATAAACACAAATTCTTGACAAATACCGTCGGAGAATACATTGATCCATTGATTCGAGGCAATCATCGAAGATTGGTGCTACGATGTGGCTGTTATACCAGCCTTCTGGTAGGTCTCTGTTATCGAGGTTTATTGTTGCTTTATCTTGAAATAACAAAAAGCTATGCACAAAATCGTTATTAGAAAAGATTGCTTTTTTTGATTTTCATAACCACATACCAATACTTACAATTTTTGGAAAAGGCGATACAAGTAAATAATATCACGATCCAAATTGTTATGATCAATTTTGACTTTGTCAAGTGCTTTTCCAAGGTCTTCCAAAGACGTCTAAAAAAATGGACTATAATTAATATATAATCTTTTTCATAAACTATTCTTCAGTTACTTACAACATTAAATGTTTTTAAAATTCTCCTAACTTCTACAGATAAAGCTTTTTTAGGTTTATATCCTTGCATCTTTGTTTCAAAATGTGATATCACTGATTGTCCCAAGGCTTCTAAAATGATACTGTTATTAAGATCAATTATGCCATATTCAAGTGATGTTTTAGTTTTTGGTTTCGTCTTCTGGCATTTTTCATGCAAGTTCCTAAGTACACGTTCTATCTTTACATTATTTATTGTGATATCAAATTTCCATGGTGCCCAATCCATTTCGTAACTTGTTTCATAAATATCAAGAGAACGCTTAAGAATATTCAGTGATAGTGATAGTGATGTTATGGAATCATTATGACGGGATGTTGTAGGAGTATAAAGAGATGATGGTGGTATGGAAGTATTACAAGGTGGTGTTGTGGGAGTATAACGAGGTGGTGATGTTGTGATGAAAGCATGTGAGAATTGTTGTGGTGTTGTAGAAGCATTACAAGGAGATGATGCTATGGGAGTATCACAAGATGATGCTATGGAAGCATCCAACACTGGTAATGCCTTCTAAATTTTTGAAAATTCCAAATTAAATTATGAAATTCTTGATTTAATCAAACCGCCATATCAGCAATTATAATTACATTCACAGCCTTCTCTACTTCTCTTTCACGATTCTCAATCACCATCTAAAATAACAAGATCTCAAGTCAGTATGCTGGTATTAAGAAGCATAGAACAAATAAATGCGTACATTTTCAAACCCATTTTTTAGTTCAATAAGAACTTGCTTGCGCTGATAGTCAGCTTGAACAACAGCAATTTCCTCATCCGTTTTAACTTTCTTCCAGAACAAATGAACACTGGCTGAAGACGTCTAAGGAAGGATCGTATTAAAAGCTTGGGAATAAACTAATAAACTCAATAGTATTCGATATTTCACAGTACCTCATTCTTAAAATCCTTGATTGCTTCCCTCACATTCGCTGGCGCGTCAGACTTTAAAATCGCCCTTATGGAATTCCCAAACCTTCGATGTAGTTCTCTTCTGTCATTAAATGACAGGGTTCTTCTTTCAGCTGCATACTCTAAGAAGGATACCAGACTCCATTTACTCCAGTCAGAGAAGGAAGAGAAATAAAGTATGGATCGAGCTTCTTTACAAGCTTATCTGGTGGTTTATAGTTGTTATTATAATGCATTTGAAACAAAAGGTTGGTTTAGAGAAGACATTCGCGTTGAAGACGCGTTATCTTAAACAGGTTAATCATGTGACTGCCTTTTTTTTTCGCCGTCAACTGACTTATTCATGTGATCCGCATTATTATATATAATTGTGGCGCTAAGCGGGTCACAAAACGTCGCGTGGAAGTGCGCCCTTCTCCTCTTTCTAGCCCGGCCATCTACCAGTTGTTCACGCGGGGAACTGTGGACTTCCTGTTAATCGCCGGTTGATGATTCGTCCCGAGACGACTTCGAAAGAGTAACACGATCCACGAATAAAGAAAACACTTAGTTAGGTTAACGGAAGTATAAGAGGAAGAGAAAGCGAAGCGAGAGGGACGCGACTACCTCTATAATATCGTCTTTACAGCTCGGGACTGGTACTTTTTCTTACGCTCCCGGAATGATTTCGCAAATACAAGGCAAGTAAATTACCATTAATATTAAGCATAGAATGTAGGATATCAAACATTACACAATGGTGAAAAGGGTTTTGGGTGTATTAGTATCATTTTAGCGAATGTCTAACTTGTTCAATTGTAGAAATTGTCCATCACTGCTGTGGTGCGCTGCTACTACTATGGGTGGTTGGTGGTGCTTGTATGTACAATAGTATTATGTTTCTATTTTCCCAGTTCATAATAAGTTGTTTACTCATTCATAAATGATTTTTTATGCAGATATTTGGTATTGTCAGTTTTATCTCTTTAAAATGGTTACATGGTGGATTTAATGTAAATTAGTTTCATGTTTATATTTTTATATAGAGACAATCCTATATTAATCCTGTTATATTCATCACATTTTGGTATGATAAAGTGAGAATTAAAATTAACAACTCCATAAGTTATTATTATCATTATTATAGACAAGCACCATTATTACTTTCAAAATGTTATTGTCAAATTAGTTAACTATCAGCCACATCAGCCACACATTTATGTCACATAACAGAATGTTCACTTTGTCTGGTTTTGTTGCAGTCTGCTCCATTTAATAGTATACGTGCCACGCATCTTTCGTCTTCTAATTAAAATAGGGAATCCTATATTAAAATCCTATGAACGTTGATTATTAAAAATGAGTTCAATGCTGTATAATTGCTCATGCAAACAAAGAGAATTTTCATTTTCCCAATAAATACAAAGATGAAAAATAAGTTAAACATTACAGCTTGATATATAGTACACCTATGACCCTAGCAAATAAAAAATGTCGCTTTTCCCAATAAAGGGATAGATAAAAAACAAAACTCCTTTTTCACTAAACTACGAAATCGTATTTCAGATTCCTTTTCCAGAAACCGTCTTTTCATTTCCACATATTATATTCAAGTGTTTATAGACAAAAGAAGTCGTTGTTTTTGCTACGCATCTTTGGGCTTCCGAAGTAGTATGAAGAACATTGGCGTAAATATTCCCGTTTCACCTCCTTCGACCAGAGCATCAGCAGCATTCATGAGAACTGACGATACGTTGGTGGAACCAGACGCGGCAATCCCCAATAATTCGAGCATTGCGACAAACTTGTGTGTAGTCCTTTTGTCGACGAAAGCAGATGATGATTAATAGGCGAGTATCGAACGAAAATTAATCGCATGTTAAGAAAAAAGATAATCCTACCATCTGCCAATGCGCGTCATCTTGAAATCGGTAAGAGAAAATTTGCCTTTTAAAGTGTTATACCAAGGTTCGTGACATTCATCCAATATTGCCATATCTTCGTATTCCACAATTTCAAACCCGACTTTCTTTGCAGCATCGAGCGCTTGTATGTACGAACTCAACTTTGGAACAGCATTACCCTCCTATTCATTAAATTTCAGTTAGTCAAAAAAGAAAAGAAAAAAAAACACAAATAAATTCATATAGTTTTCTTTTTCTTTTTCGTCGTCGTGTTAAAAATCTCACTTTACCTCTATTCCATGGATAATGCGCCTATGGTCGGGGTTGTTATCGTCATATATCGATGTGGTGACCCATTCATAAACAGCAAACAAACCGCCTGGTTTCAGCGCACGGAATACCTCTCCATAAACTATTTCAAGTTTCGGAGAGTGTACAGTAGCCTCGACAGCATATGCGGTGTCGAATTTATTGTAAAGTTCGCAGGGAATATTAGTGAAATCGCCCTAAAGTGACGGAAGCAAATGAAATGTTACATTCCATGCTATCTATCATGGCGAATCGCCGTATATGGGAAGAAAACAAAAAGATCGATACCTTTACAAAATCCGTCATACTTTCCAAACCAAACTTCTTCGAGTAAGTCTTACATCTTTCGATCTGGTAAGCATTATTGTTTAGACCAGTCACGTGCGCACCCGATAATCTGACAATTTCTCGTAAAGGACCGCCTACTCCGCAACCAACATCCTGCAGAACGTACAAAAAGAACATTTCGATATGTGTTGGTTACATTTTAACATTAATATGGACATGATATCACCATCAAACAAGCACGACAGAATGGGCAGTAACACGCTGGTGTCTGATTGGAATGAAAAGCAATATGTCATGTGATCATAACGTATGTTTGTCTTACGAGTGTTCTGCTGTTCCGAGATAATCCTAACTTGAGAGATAGATATTGCTCATGCCGTTTTATTGATTGTTCAAAAGTATCGCCTTTGAATAAACGGGCAAAGTGGAAGGATTCGCCCCATCCTATATATGAACGAGAGGATACTGTGAGTTAATAATGGGACTTGCGTGCATGAATGAGTCGAACACATGGGTCAAAATATTTAGGAAAGCGTTTTTGTTTCTTGGTTTCTAACTTTACTTGCCATATTCATAAAAGTCTGTAACGATATCATAGAAAGCGTTACTCATCATCTGCGCATGTTCCAGTCTGTTTTCGATGTTTTCTTCTCTGTTTGCCGCATCTTTTTTATCGGCTTTCCACATATCAGTATAAGTGTTCACAATTGCTTGATGGATCTTGGCATCTTTCCTGTATATCTTTTTTACAAAACCGCTAGGCTCGTAGATAATATCTCCATGGTGTTGTTTCATAATGTCAGCATTTCCAGGCTCGTATGCTGTCGTCATTTTGAGAATATCGGGTTTTTTCCCCCGATAGTCAAGAAATTATCAAAAATGTTGACCGAATGTCCAACTAAAAAAAAAAATAGCGTAATCGCGCTTTAAGTAAAATTTCTCCCTTTTAAATGTGTCACAAGGAAAGGAGATAAGTGTCAAATCCCAACGTGGTTTAGTACGTTGAATGTGACTGGAACTGCAGGGGGCGGGGGTTCGGATTATCATAAATCAGTAGCGGGGTCGAACGGAAATGGGTTGCAATCCAAATAATTTATAGATTATCAAATCTGGACGATAAATTAGCTGTTCGAATGGAATGATCGATGTGGAGAAAAATCTTGTTTCGTAACGAGTAACTGTTTACACTTGTTTATGCAGCAGCGTTTAATTGGTTTTGTTTACATTTTGCATAACCCAAAGTAACACTCTTATTTCCCTGCATGTGCATTTCTGGCATTGTTGCAAGTGACACGCGCAGAATAGCCTATTTGCATGACAATCGGTTATCAAATATGATTGTAGATTGCTAATTTGCTATTCCGCTAAGACGATGTTACGTGCTTATGTGATTCTCATATGTTATGTGATAAACGTTACTTATATAATATACATTTCGCCTGAAGCAATTCTAGTTTCTTTGTGGATACTAGGCTGCCATTCTTAGAGTTTATGGTAACAATCAACAGGGGTATGACATCTTCATAAGTTAATTAATGTGTGACTGTTGGGGACAAAACGAATAATGTAAAAAGGCAGGTACACAGTGAAACCGGATATAACGAAGGAGACCGTGCAGACACTTTTCTTCGTTATATCGAGGGATTCGTTATATCC